ATTCGATATAACTCTAACGCACAATCAAACTAATCAAATAAAATTTTACTCAATTGACCTCAATTAAATTTATTTTGAGGAAAAATAATTACTCTATTTACTTCCATCGTAATTTTCTACAGCACAAGTTTTAAAATCGTGTTATTTTCCAGAAAAAAATGGATTTGTGATCTGATACTTGTAAAGAAAATGAAGAACACTAATAATTAAAGTTATTTCAATCATAATTAATGCACATCAAACAAAAAATCTTTTTACCATCACAAATATGCTAAAAAGACTAACATACCTAAATGCGAATTGGTATGTAAAATATAGTCTGGAAAAACTCCTAAACCGGAGTCGCAGACAAAAGCTAGTAACAAATATCTTCGATCGATTTATGTTTCGAGCGTCAATTTGTTTTAACACGTTAACAAAGAGCGTACTATCGGATTTATCTTGAAATCTATTCGAAGGTATGATTGACACCACAGTCGGCTATGGTCCACTTTCCTCGAAAACATTAGCTGGCACGCGTTTTATATGTTACGAGTTTTGCGATCATCGTACGATATTTTTAGTTAAACATCGCACTTGGTATTTCGGTTAATATTTTAAATAAACTATCACGTATTAACCCGATTTAAGATCTAGTAATCGATATTCTTTTATAAGATTGTATCAAATGGAACAATAGTTATACTGATTTATCTTATTATAGCTTATGACCTAACTCAAATGTCAAATGAAGAGAAGGTGTGGCTTAAAACAGTGGGCCGATCATTAGTGTGACAGAATCGATTACTACTAATCGATATTTACACAAACTGAAATCGATTATCTTAAATCAATGTAAATCGATGCAGGTCAAAGAAGACAGATTAGCAATAAATGTATATCAGTAACAAGATGAATTCCACTGGTCACATAATTGCATACTCTTATCTAAGATAACAAAGCATTAAGATTTGCAATTATAATATAAGTAAACGAGTAAACATGGAATTGTTTCTTTCATGCCATTAATTACATTCATAGATGCTTAACTATGACAGTGCCGCCTTGTATTTGTATAGTAATTAGTTTTATATTTTTCTTTGTAATTTTTTTCCACACAATAAATAATTATATATTCAAATAGTTTCAAAAAGAAGAAGCCAACGTTTACGATGGACTAAATATGTTTAATGTTTGCCATCAAAGATGGAAAATACCACCACGAAAGAAAAGTAAGCGATATATTCACGCAAAAATGGATTTACCAGTACCCAAATAAGATAAAAGCCTTGATGTCTGGAACACAGCAGGCGTGACCAAGATGTTCAACAAATATGATATCATAGCGCCGTCAGACGATTACGTACAAACCGCTGTCCGTACCACGACACTGAATACTGCCACCAAAAACTCATACGTAACATCCATTACTTGCTCAATAAGGAGTTAAACAGATTAAATCTTCGCTAGACGAGCAATGTCAACGTACTTATCTAATTTACACTCATTATGAAGCCTTAGCAATATGATATGAAGTATTCGCGGTGTAGCGATAATTGTTATATAAATATTTACTATTTATAGCCCGCTGTAGTTCATTCTGTCCGTCGTGGAACATTTTTCCGATGTGAAATACATAAAACTACGCTGTGTAAAATGATCTAAACGCATAATTGTTTATTAATTAGATTCAACTTGAACTAAAGGACAAGCTTAAGAAGGGAGTGGTGTCAGATATGACGACTGGTAGAAATGTATGGAAGAGAAGCACATACTTTGTCGATCCTTCTTAGCGACAAGGACAAGTTGTTGAAGAAGATTAAATAGGACTTACCTTAACGACGAAAGATTAAAATTGACTTAACAAGAGGTCTAGCTTCTTTGGACACAACCATAAAATTAAATTTACATCAAAGGAAAGACCAACCAAAAGGTACCTCTCTTCTGTCATAACGCCAGAATATGTAACCTTAAAAATAATATAAAATCAATTAAATAATGAGCTAAGGTTCTTATTACAAAAATCAGGCGCAATTCCTAAAAACACGTGTTTTTTGGATACTTATTAACATCAAGTTAAATCAAAGCCTTATTAGTAAGTTATAAATAATTCGCATTGAAAACCGTAAATGTATTTAACATAAAGTCAGTTACTCTAGTAGCCAATTTTTAATAGTGGCATTATAATTCTACGATAACATCACAAAAACCCAAAACAGGAAAAAGTACAAAACGTTAGTTAGATAACACGTACTCGTAACATTTATTGTACATAATGAGTATGTAATCATAGTCATAATTAATAACAACATATGAATATATTTCAACAGTTATTAACTAGTTGTTCCCATGCGGCTTTATCTGCATGACATTACAAAAACGTTATTTTATTGTTTACAGTTTTCAAATTCTCAATTGCAAATGTTCAAATTACCGTAACCATAATAACCTTACTTCCTTAATGTTGGTAGCGTATAGTTTATGGTCCCTTTTCCACGTGAAAACATATAGCCTAAAGTGTTTTCTTATGGTCGGGCTTTTTATTAAGGAAAGGATTATTTAAAAACATGCTGTGATTGCAGCCCCCTTAGTCAAAGTGACTTCAGATCGTAGACTGTAGAATCGACGAAGTCTAAGGGGGCTGACATCCTACGCCACGAAGTAGTGTGTGTTTATGCTTTATTATATTAAGTATAAATTGTACAAAATGTAGTATACTAGGCCATCATCCAGGCGTCTCAACTATAGTAACGTAGAAAGGTTAGTAGCCGAATACCCAGCTTCATTCAAAAATTTATTAGTGTTTTTGGTTCGATAACTTCATGAAATGCGTTTCTGAACTACGTAACTTGAGTATTACTACTTTGAAATATATACCAATGTAACACTGAATCACTAGGTGATGAGAAAATAAATGTAGACTTCAGAAACCTAGCATAAAGGAGCATATCATAAGTGTTGTTCACGCCGAAAGCGCATTCAGAATGACGTAGCGAACCAATTTGGAGTTTACCTCCAATAGTCTCTACTTTACAAGGTCCTGGTTTTAGCCCTCTCGTAAGCCTTTTACTATCGTCAATTAGTTAAAATATCAAATGTAAAATAAACACATTTATTAATATACAACCGTATTTTACTAAAATCGAGTATGCGAGTTGTACTCGTATTCATATGTCAAAAAGCAATAAAATAAAAATTCACATACAGTTATTGGAATGGACCGTAAATGGTCACGTGCATATGAGATTTATTATCTAGCATCTGGTGTTACTAAAAATAGTTATACGCTTATAAAGCTCTGTTTCAACACCGTATAATTAAAATCTTAGCTCAATTATTATGTAGTACAAACATATATTATCAACATAAACCATCTATGAAAATGTTTTACATATTTCTTCAAACAATCGTGCTAAATTTAAAAATGTAATTCATGTCTTTTCATTTTTACAATCTAATTTGAACTTTGTTTCCATTTGCGTTCATCACACCAATCACTTGTTATAAAACAAAGGGATGTTAACCGTCTTATCTTATAGGTTACGACCACGCGCGCGTGAAACTAAAAAATGTAGCCAATATTACGTACAGATAGACTACCTTTCTAACTGTCAAAGAATATTTAAAATCGGCTCAGTAGTTTTTGAGTTATTTCCATACATACAAAAATACAAATCATTCCTCTTTGTAATACTAGTATAGACAACATAGAAGCGAATATACCTATACTATTTCCTCACAGACTAGCAATATATCTGTAGTTCTTGTATAACGAATGTCTATGGGCGAAATTGCCCACTTCACTTATAAAAAAAAATATTATAACAAATTTCTGCATCTTTGAATGTGAACACTTGACCATCGGCTATTACATAACGTCTAATTATCCTACCGTCTTATATAAAATCCGTTAGCATTGCTCCGACGAAGCATTTTCTTATCACTTATTGTTTGTCCATGCGTTTCCTATAACATGTCAGGGCACGTGATGATCAACATCACGTTGGCTTGCATGCAGTTCCGACAATCTCGTGGCTCTTTAACTGAGATCAGTGTTAACCATTCCTTTGTTAGAAGTGTTAAAACTGTCCAGTACAATAGAGTAAAATCGAGGACAGCTTTGAACCCTTCGACATGTTTGTTTCTTTCGACACAATTTAACAGTAAACTCGATAATTATTCAATGACTTTAAATAATAATTTAATTGCTTAAAATTAAAATAATTTTCATTTGTAGGTTTATTAAAATTATAGAATTATTTTTATTTTACGTTTAGAATGATCGCATTTTATTATTTCAAGATACTCCAGATATATCGCATTGCTCGTCTCAAAATCGTCTCTCAATTTATACATTTATCGTTTCTTACGTGTATATTTGTAAACATATTAAATAATGTCATGGAAATTATTTTTTTATCGAGATTTCTTATTTTGTTGTAACACGTAACATTGCCTAACTTGTAAGCAGGCACTTGAAGATACGTAATTGATAATAGTATGTCGCAGGATTGTTGCAAAATTTGTATTTTGAAATGCAGCCGTTGCGAAACTTGCACTACAATGCCATAACGATCCGCGTTACGTAAATATTATACAATGTCAACGCGTGGACATTTTGCGAATTGCGAATGGACTTTCACGTTTTTCTGCCTTATATTAATATTAAAATATTTTATAATATAACTTTTGCTCGCAATTTCGTCCGCGTGAAATTAAAAAATAATTAATGTAGCCTATTTACTGATAACGTAGCTTTTTAATGGTGCATGAATTATTGAAATCGACCAAGTAGTTTTTGAATTATTTCAATACAAACAAAAAGAAAATCGTCTTTACCATATTAGTATAGATTTCTAGATTATACTTAAGTTTTAATTCGTATGCAATTTTAGGTTTTAACTTTACACTTTGATAAATGTTCTAGAATACATTACAATCAACCGCTTGCAAAACCCAGACGTATTTAACTTCTTCCACATTTACACGTCTTATCTAATTTTATAGAACACTGAACTCACCATTTTTGTTGTCGGGAGAATCTACCAAAGATACCCTGTCCTCTTGAGGGAAGGCTGGTTACGTGGAATATGACCCAAAATCCCCTCGGTGGTCATCTTCAAGTGACGACGACGGTTCCAGGATCTCCAAGGACACAGGAACGCTGAAATCAATTGACGTTATAACCTTCTCGAGTCATTGACCTCAAAGAATTATAAATAAGCTTTGATTCGGTAATTGTGTTGATAAGGAAAATGTGTGTACTGCAAGAATGCAACGACTTATTGACGATATGAAGACTGACAGCTGAACAATGACTAGATTACAAAAAACAAAAGAGATTTGTATTTAAATACAATCAATGCTCTATAAAACTAGCTATAGTAAATAGGTCATATTAGGTACTAAATGTATGTTACTTTTTAACAGAAAATGCATAACGTTCGTTAATACCATAGACGGATAAATTAAAGCCGTAATTATCTCGTACATGTTTTTTATTCATTTAGTGAAGATGTCAATACTTAAAACCAAAAAGTCGAAGGTTCTCCCGTGAGGTCACCTACATACTTCGTCTCGCGATTGCCGGTCATGGCCAGTGAGACCTCATATCCGTTGCATACGGTGCAAGAGAAACGCAGAAAGCGATTATTCTCGAATTATCGATTTTTAAATCGTCAATAAAGGATACATATTTTTAAATAGCACTAGTAAAAAATCTGTTAAATTAGGATACAGGTTGAGTGTCGAGCAATGTGCTTTTTAATAATTCATTTTTTTAGATTACACTAGCTTCTATCAGGCACTTTTAAAACAAGCTACCATAAAATTTCCTTTATTAATTTACTTTAACCATATTTACCGCACAATATGCATTATTTATACATTGTCAATCATTATCAACTTCAAAATTACATTTTCTTTATTTTCCTAACGTAATCAGATATGTTTACATTTAAATCGCTGTGTCTCTTGCATTGCACCACACCTAAGTACCGACGAGCGGATCTGTAAACAACTATTGAAGTCGCACGTAAACCACACAACGTCCGTATAAAACCATCAACGTAATCACATCGCTCGCTCATACGTTCTGTGAGAAAAAGAACAACTTATTAATCCGTTTAAAGTTCCGCTCAACTAATGATATCATTTCTAGTTTGATATGACTAATAATTGCTTACAAAGAATTCTCAATTACTGATGGGGAAAAATACATCCCGACTCTTCTGTTAATATATAAACAATTAGCGTTGCCCGAGACTAGTTCCGCGTGGAATTATAAAAAAGTAGGTAGCCTTTGTGTTCTTCCAGAAAGTCTTCTACATCTATGCCTAATTTCATCAAGATCCGTTCAGCAGTTTAGGCTACAAACTCTAACAAACATCCATCTATACTTTCGCATTTATAACATTGGTAAGATTATTGTTAATATTTACGCTTTCGATTTACCCTAGCTATTTTCTGAACTCATAATTATTGACGTCGTACTAAGGAAAGTTTCAATATAATTTGTAAAAGTAATCTACTTTTGTATGAAAGAAAACTGTGTATTAGATATATCAATTGTTATAACTCCCAACAGTAATACAATATAATATCTTATTAAAATGATGAATAAATTAACACTTTTAGAAACTGTAAAACAATAGTTCAATAAAACCGATACATTCTAATCGAGTTGCTGTACAAATAACGAAGATCTCGTGTCAAAGACCGATACGTTTAATTAGTAGGCGAAAAGGCGCCATGGATGTGTAGGCGTGAAGAGCACGAAGTCTATCCAGTTTATCTTGAGCTTAGTTGTAATGTCTGGTTGATAGCTTGTGATATGGGTCGTGTTTGAACGGGGGTCAGGTCGGCTGGCCGGGGCGCGGCGTAGGTGTTGTCGGTGCGGTCACGGTCACCGCCTAGTGACCACTGTATGCTTAAGACTTGGTCTGTGTGAATTCACCACATAACAATTTGACGTACCGTTGCTAAACTGATCACTTTGTTTCGTGATTATACACAGTTTTTTGTTTTTAATTTGTAGTGTAAGGGCGGGCGCACACCTTTGGCTAAACTATTGTACAAATGTTTTGCGGTTGTCAATTGTTTCCCAGCCAATTCAACTGTTTAGTTGCACAACTAAAAATAGAGTAGTGTGCGCATCTCCACATAAGCTCATAGGACTCAAAGCGAGACTAAACAATCGTGCGATAGTTTAGTCAAAGATGTGTGGGCGCTCTAACTATACACAGTTTAAATCAGAGCTGGTTTTCATTTGAAAATGAATATTTACTTTAATGCTTTGTCTTTACGTTACATGTAATTATTTTAAGGAGATAATATTTAAAGGTTTTAGTAAAACCTGTTGGTAATAATGAATCTTAAGTGACCTCGCTGATAAGATTTCCGTGTAGATGGTCGACTAAATGCCCAGTAGTTTTACACAAATATAGTTGAACGACTATCAACAGGATGTGACCATGTTTATCGAGATCCAACTTTTATTAAAAATTATTTTTAATTTATTCAATGACATTTAAAACACGGTTTGTACACTTAACAAGTTTTCTTCCACTTAAGTAATTGATTCTTTTACTATTTTAATTATTTAGTTAAATTGGTTCACTGGAGGAGAAGAATTCCAGGGACTTGACCATCTCAATTTTCCCGCCATTTTCACGTGGTAGTTAGTCTTACGTGGGCAAAATAGTGACATAAAGAAACTTTATTGAACTCTGGTTTCTAGAAAATAATAATATTAACAAAATATTAGTAAGTATTTTCAAATAGGCTCTGAACAATTGGTATTTTTTGTTTAATAATTGTTACGATTTCCCTGCGGTTGGATTACGCGAATCAGAATCGAATAGAAATCGATTATATAAAGAGAGTTTGGCATTATACCAGTAACATTCATCGAGTGAGGTGTAAGATGGGAATAGAATCGATTCAATTGAAGAATGGCCCAGCGCCGTAGGAACAAAGTGGACGGTTCTCACGCGCGCTCCCACACACTTGAGACTAATAATTGGTCATAGCGAACCTTCCTTTCTTCGGACAATTGTTTTTAAATTCTGAATAACAACTCTTTGCTTACAAAACCGTGGAAATTATCTTTACTTTTATTGTCAAATGATGATCATGAGATAGTAGACCTTATAATGTCAAAATTTATTTAAAAAAAAAACTGAAGATGGGTTTTGAAGATGGAACATTTAAAAATTTAAAAAACCTACAACTGGTTAACTATTGTGTCATTAGTATATTAAATATTGGCTATACCAAGTCGTTACGTAATACACAATTACATTCGACGCCATAAAACTTTATACTAGAAGCAATATCTATTTTTTAATTATTTCTCAGTATTGTTATTGCGAAGTTATAAAACTATAAATATGACATAAATCATATTTATTTTGTAGTATCTGAACAAGATATACTCTGTACCTCTCCATCGATGTATAAGAGCATTTCCAAGTAAAACGCACAAAATGATGTTACATGAATAAACGAGTAAACGATATTGAAAATTCTCGTAAAGTCCCTTTTAATCGTGTCATTTTCAAATTTACAATAATTAATTGTAATCACTAGTCTTTAACGGTAACTTTGATTGTTAAATCAGATGACAACGTAGTTATTAAGTTACATGATAGGGTGGAACGTCAAGTTTTTCCTGTTGCCGTGTGTCAATGGACCGTGGACACGCGCACGCAGTCATTGCAGCCAATACGCAAGGTTGGCGCGCACACGACCTCCTTGGCTAATAATTTACAAAGATCTTCACGCGTTAAAACGCCGTTTCCCACATATTTACGACTCAGTTATTTATTGCTGCTAATCTTTGTTCTGTACAAGCGAAATTTTGCTTTGTTCTTTGAGACGTTCTAATGTTTTATTGTTGGTCTTCTGTGAATGTTAAGTATTAGGTTAGATAAACATTGGAAAATCTTCCTGTTATTTTAATCAATCGGCCTCTTTGATATACGACGCAAGATACGCTAATCGGGGATGCGGAGCCTCAGCAGTTTAGTATGATAGCCAAACAGAACTGCAAGAGATTTAGTTAGCAACAAGGACCTTTCATCTCGTACCCTGTCATCTGTCTGTTACCTAACCGTTTTATTACTAGAAAAAAACTACATCACACTTCGATGATGATGGTGATGATGAAGATTGTAGCTATTGAAACGCATATTTTAGTGTCAGGGTCTCCAATATTCAAAATTACGAAAAACCGCATCGTGTCATTATTTGAAACTAGATATACTGTGGTATTGATACGCAATTTATCATATTATTGATTTGCGTTATCGGTAAAAATACTTGTATTTTCTGGTATTTAATAAAAGCAATGAGTGTGAAGAATCACAAACAACGATATCATAATATAGATTCCATTTAGCGGTGTTCGTATTCATTACTATTATGACTGGCTGAACGCTTCAGATAATGATATGCAATACACAAATAAGCAACACGTACCTGGCCGCTAGAGTGTCAACGGTATTTATATTTATGAGGAAAAAATCTAGCGTAGCACCACTTTACAACACTTCTTCAAACTCCTAAATATTCAATGACAAATATTAATTACAAGGGTGGATGCCTGACACATATATCTATCTCTCTCTGTCATTACTACAACATATCTTGCTTCTCTTTCGAGTAACAATAAATGCTTATACGTGACGCGTCCTAGAATTTCCTTTCCTTAGATTTTTTAGTTTTTATTCGCAAAAAAGATGTTTGCTTCTTCTACTGTAAATATTAAAATTGTTTTATTAATTAATTCAAGCCATAAAACTGCTGTGTATTTTAAATGTTTTGTATTAATAAACTGAATTAAATCTTCGTTTCAAAATAAAAAAAAATCTGTTTCTTACTTTATAATATTGAATGCTTTTTAGGAACTAATGGGGCGAGACAGAAGCACGACATTAGCAATGAACATAATGTTAAATAGATCTCTATCGCAAAGCAAAAACTAACAAATTTATTTGTTTTGCATAAAAATCTATCACTTAATACCAAAGTCTGGTATTATTAAGTGAATTAAGATGTTGAATATTTAACATTAAGATCATTAATTAAAGTCATAATTAATGTCACATAAATCCTTACACTGATCCAATTAGTTGACTTGAATGCCGAAAAATTAGAAAATTA